ACCACTCCCACCTCGAACACAGAATCAGTCTCTAAATAAATGGGTATTGTATTTAAAGAGGAGTGCCAGTTCCAGGCTGCAAATTCTGGCTTTTCATGTTTCCTGACTGCGTTAGCACTGGGATGTGGCTTGTAACAACATAAACAGCCTCATGTATTGCATCCTCAGTCCTTCCAGCAGCAGTGTTACCTTGGAGCATGCAGCCTGTGTGCTTGCTCTGGTGTGAGAGCTCTTGCTGACTCTCAGGCTGTTGGCTTGTGCCTACGTATTGTAATTACTAAAATAACATTTTGTCCATAATGATATCTTAGTAATAAATTTCAGTCATTTGAGTTTAGCCTGGGGGAGGAAATATTTCGTTCCATTTAATGGAATACTGTACTTTATTAGTCCTTTCCCTGCCATATATTTAAATGTTCTATAATAAATGAATGTGATGTCCCTAGGGCAACAAGCCAGCAAACCTTTCAGATAGCTGCTGGAGCTCTCTGTTTACATGGAGCACAGCAAAAACCTGTCTAATGGAGTGAGAGAGAGGAGTGGGGCCAGTTTCCCAGGTGAGGATTTGCTGATGGGGCTCCTCTGCTGCTGGAGACATAAAGGTTAATGGCTCCTGGTGGCCTGGGCTGAGCCAGGGGGGGTGTTTAAACATTTCTGACCGTTGAAACTGAGCCTTAGCCTATGCAGGGTGGCACCTGTTTGCATTTTGAGCGTGACTGAGTTATTTGCAAGCTAAGCAAGTAATTGCAGTGAATCAGAGGGGCTGCTCTGAACTGAGATTTCTCAAAGTGAAAGTTGGTGTGTTTTTTCCTTCTGCAATGAACCAACCAAGGCTTCTTCCTTTTTTCCTACAGCTGAGCGGGTTAAAGAGGAGAACCTGACAATTGTCTGCATCCCTACATCTTTTCAGGTAAACACTTTCCTCCTTTGCTTTCTGCTAATCCAAACACTCATGCAGGGGATCCTCCCTTTGGCTGTGGGAGGCAACCACGCTGCTCTCTGGACTGGCTCACGGTGGTGTCAGTTAACCAGAGTTGTGATGCAGCCTGTAGACATACCTCATGCATGTGATGTGTTATCCTGACCAGAGCTTAGGAATGCCACAGGGCTGGGAGGCATGTTTTGAACCAGTGAGGTAAGGCTGGTCATGTCAGGGTTGGTGTGTGGCTTCCTCTGGATCCCTCTTGCAGAAAAATGCTGTTTAGTGGTGAACCAGACTTGTAACGCAAATGTCTCACTGGAGACACTTTGTCTCCTTTGATACTATATCAAGCCTTGAAAGCTGTAAAGAATAATAGCGAGCTCTTGTGTTTTCAGGAAGAACTTGAAATGCATCAAGGGGATTTTATATGAAATTGCAGAAGAGAAATTGGCTTAACCTTTCCTTTGCTGCGCAGCTTTTGCAGGGATTGGTTCATACCAAGCCAGATGTGGAGAGGTTTGCAGGGATAGGGATAACCTGGCTTGGTGGTGAAATGCAGAGCTGCTGGGGAATCTTCTGAGGTGCTTCCATGCCTTCTGCAACTGGCTTTGATCTCTTTGCCTCTGTTCCCTGAGGTGGGAACCTTTCTTTGGGCAGGGAGAGGTGACACAATGGGTACCATGTGAGTGGTTTTCGAGGCTGGGTGGCAATACCTCAGTCTGGGAATTGAGCATGTGTCCTTCTCACAGTCCTGGTGTGGACTTGTGGATTGTACTTTTGTCCCAACCTTTTCACTGTGAGGACAGCCAGTGTGACAGGCTGTGCAGAGCCCATCCTGTGTGGTTTTCAGGACCTGACTGGGTAAAGCCCTGAGCAACCTAGTAGCTGATCCTGCTTTGACCTGGAGGTTGGATAGAGACCAACCTGAATTGTCCTAAAATCTTAGGAAAACTTAACATCCTCTTAGCCTGCAGATGTTTGTGTGAGTGTGTGGTGACAGAGCTCTCTCTTTTCCCAGCTGTTGCAAACAGCCAGTGGCCAACTTGGGTATAATGCAAGGTGCATTATCAAAGGGCAAAAAATAAAATATATTTTTTTAACCTATATCAGTACTTCTGTTGCATGCATAGACTATGGTGAGAATCTTGATCTGTAAAGACAGATCTTAAAATGATCCCCATCATGTCCACTTTGAAAACCTAGGAGAAGTGTTCAGAATTCAGTCATTAGATCTTAGAGAAAATAGTGATAAAGTTCTTGTAGTAAATGTGGGCCGGAATCTGTCCTGCCTTGAAATGTTGGGATAGTTCATTTAACACTACAGAGTTTCTTACCAATAAAACAAACAGGTTGCTGTTAAAGGGAAGAGGTAGATCACACACCTGCAGGAGCCAAAATCGCCAACACAGGGCTACCTCATATCCTTTGCAGTCTCTTAGACTTCAGCCAGTTTGGAGTGAAGCATTCCCAGGTCAGCAAAACAGCATTTTATTTTCACTACGTACAGGTGTAAATGGCTGCCTGAGGTCACTGGCAAGGAAGAATTGGTTTCAGTGAGCTTTTATTCTGCTCCCTTTCCTGTTGTCAGGTTGGGTTATTCCATCACCATCAGTAAAGCTAGAGCCGGGGTAAGTATCTGTCCCTTGGCTTTTGCGTTGTTTCTTTTCACCTGGACGTGTGCCGAGAGCACGGAGTGGGACTGTTCTTGGCAAGTGCTGCACAGTTACCACCACTTTGCCCCCAGTTCTGGGAGCTGTGCTTTTGATTCCTGTGCGCCCATCGCCTTGCAAGCAGAGCCTGAAGAGAGCCAAGCCACCTTGTTTCCACACCGCTGACTCTGAGCTGGTTCAGGATCTGGCCTGCATGTGCAGCACAGTGTTGTTCAGTGCTTTCAGTCCCCAAATCCCTGAAATCTCTTTACATGGACACCATGTAATGAATGTCAATCCACTGGTTTTTATTCCTTTTATTTTGTGAGTCCTTAGGGCCCCACAGCCCCTGGGTTTTAAAACTGCATGCTATGAAATGCCATGATAAACTATTCAAATCATATCTCATTGCCAGGAGTACCACCTGCAAATTCTAATGTTTCTGGGATGCCAATACATGTGACTGATGCACTTTGTTAGCATTAGTGGGTAAAATCCAGGGCAATCAGGCTATTACACTGGGGTTTCTTGGTCTAGCTACAGCATGGTATCAAGTTTGGACTCAAGCCCAGTCCATGCAAGGAGGGAGTCTCAGATGAAGATTTATAACACAGAAAATTCAACCAATTCAAGATTCTGTAAGTTTGAGGGGATCAGGTGCACTCTCAGCAAGTTTGCAGATGACACCAAGATGGACAGGAGTGCATTTGATCTACTGGAGGGTAGGAAGGCTCTGCAGAAGGATCTGGACAGGCTAGATTGATGGGCTGAGGCCAAGGGAATGAGGTTGGACAAGTCCAAGTGTTGGGTCCTGCCCTTGGGTCACAACAACCCCATGCATTTCTACAGCCTTGAGACAGGGTGGCTGGAAAAGACCAGTGGAAAAGAACTTGAGGATGCTGGTTGACAGCAGCTAAGCATGAGCCAGCAGTGTGCCCAGCTGGCCACAAAGGCCAGTGTCATCCTGGTCTGTATCAGCAAGAGTGTGGCCAGCAGGACCCTGGCAGTGATTCCCCCCCTGTACTTGGCACTAGGGAAGCAACATCTTGAATCTTGTGTTTGGTTTTGGGCCCCTTGGGACAAGAAAGACATTGAGGTGCTGGAGTATGTTCAGAGAAGGGCCATGGAGTTGGTGAAGGGTCTGGAACACAAGTCCTGTGAGGAATGGCTGAGGGAGGTGGAGGTGTTTAGCCTGGAGAGAGGAGGCTCAGGGGTGACCTTATCGCCCTCTAAAACTACCTGAAAGGAGATTGTAGCCAGGTGGGGATTGGCCTCTTCTCCCAGGCAGCTAGTGACAGGATGAGAGCAAATGGCCTTAAGTTGTGCTAGGGCAGATTTAGATTGGGTATTAGGAAAATTTTCTTCATGGAAAGGATGGTTAAGCACTGGAACAGTCTGCCCAGGGCAGTGGTAGAGTCACCGTCTCTGGAGGGATGTAAAAGATATGTAGATGTGACACTTGGGGACATGGTTTAGTGGTGGCCTTGGCAGTGCTGGGTTAACAATTGGACTTGATCTTAGAGGTCTTTTCCAGCCTAAATGTTTCTGTGATTCTGTGTTTAAACTGAGGGACTGAGCGAGGGCAACTCTGCGTGTTCTGTGTTGTATTGCCACTAGAGGGAAATACACAGTCACTTCAGGAAAAGTAGATCAGAAGCACCAAGTAGCTGTTTCAGGAGCTTCCCACACATTTTCCACAAGTTGTGCTCTTCTCTGTGTTGTTTATTTTCAATGTTAGTCCCACATTGCTATGCTGTAAATATTTAATTTTCTTGCTCCCATTTTTCAGCTGAAGGAGATCAGAGGGGCTGGATGGGTGCGAAGGAGAATGATGTCCAAGCTGAAACAACACAAGTCTCAAATATTCCATATCCTCTTTAGTGCTTAGATACAAGTGATTCCCCTCCTGTAATTTAGTATGGAGAGACCCAAACCCAGGAGTCCTGTTGCACCATCTAACCATTTTAATTCAAACCAGCAGCAGGGTTTTCTTTTGATTAGATTACTCTGCTGTGGAAGCATCATTTTCTCCTTGCTGTGTGGTCCCGCTGCTGGCTGCAGCCTCTTCACCGGCTCAGGGTGGAGCTCTCCCAGGGAGACTCCATCCTTGCCATGGCCAAGGAATGACACCATGAGTTTGTTTTCTTTTCCTGCTGCTGTTAAATGGTGTTTGCTGTCTTCTTGGTGCACAGGCCCGTCAGCTGATCCTGCAGAATGGCTTAACACTGAGTGACTTGGACCGACATCCAGAGGTAAGTGGGACCATGGAGGTGAGCCCTCACCCAACCTTCCTCTCACCTGGTTCTTCAGAGAGCATCCGGCTACTTTGTCCTCCCCTGAGGATGAGAGTTTGGGCAGCCATGTGCAGAACATGGGTGAGAACTCATGAGTTGGACAAGAGGGAGCAGCCTCAATTGGTGCCTGGAAGTTTTAGATTAGATATTAGGAAAAATTTCTTCACTAAAAGGGTGGTCAATCATTGGAACGGGCTGCCCAGGGAAGTGGTGGAATCACCATCCCTGAAAGTGTTCAGAAAACATGTAGGTGTGATGCTTAGGGGCATGGTTTAGTGGGGACCTGGCAGTGTTAGTTTAATGATTGGACTCAATGTTCTTAGAGTTCCAGCTTTAATGAATCTGTGTTTCTAACAGGCTTAGTTTATTTTTTCCCCAAGCCTTAGTCTTGCCTTAGTTCATGTCCCTTTAGATGGCAAATAGGCTGTCAGGCTGTGTTTCTTCAGGTGTTTGGCATCTCTTCCAGTCCGAGGCTTGCTGACCCAAGACAGGGCTATTGCGTTACTGAACTGTCACCAAGATTTTCCTTGGGAAAATCTTGCATGCTGAATCTTAAATGACACTAGAGGCTAAAGTGATGTGCCTTGCAAGCCAGAAGTTGGTTTTGGTTTCTCTTCCTGTGGTTTAGAGGGGCTGCCATCCTTGGGTGGCCGATTAGATGCTCTTCTCTGGTCAGGCTGGTGTCAGATGGTCCCAGCTCTAGTGATGTTTCTCCCTGCTGTTTGGCACCCACTACCCCCCGAACTGCACCAAGAGCAGTGCCTGGATGCTGCACAGGAGGGGTTTCCACACCAAATTTCTCCTCTTCCTACAGCTTGATGTTGCCATTGATGGAGCAGACGAAGTGGACTCTGACCTCAACCTTATCAAAGGTGGCGGGTGAGCCTTGCTGTCTGTCCGACCATGCACGGTGACAGGGGGTCTGAGCATCCTTGTCTGGCTGCAGATGTCTCTGGGGTGGGCTGGAGAGGCCAAGGGGATCCTGTGCAAGGGCTGTGCGTGCACCTGCAGTGGGAGAATGGCTCCTGACCAAGGGTGTGTGCAAGGGACAAGGAAGATAAAGTGATGGATGAGGATAAGGAGAATAAAGTGTGGGGCAATGGGAGCACCAAAACCAGCAAGAACATGATGGAGGGGACTGGACTGCAAGGCCATCAGGCACATTGAGGAGCAGTCTGATGTTTTCCTGGTTTTATTTTTATTTTTCCCCCTTGCAGTGGCTGCTTGACACAGGAGAAGATAGTTGCAGGATATGCAAAATGCTTCATTGTTATTGCCGATTACAGGTGAAAATATTACTATTCATTGTTCCTCTCTGTCCTGTGGGAGGATTTGGATGGTCTTGTGTCCTTCAGTGGGTCATGAGTCCTTCCAGTGGGTCAGGAGAGCAGGAATAGGTGGAAATTAGCCTGGCTGTCAGTGCTTCAGCAATTCAATTTATCTTTTTTTCTTAATTTTCAACTCAGCAGGCCTGCTTGGGAGTCAGCAGAGCTTTGGGGAAATGGCTGCTCTGCTCTTTGAGCTCAGTGACTGTCAGCACAGGATAAATTTCCTGTTCTGTATATACAGCCACAGAGCTGTAGGAAAAACAACTCCTGTCCTGCTTGTCCAAAACATGTCAAAACAGGGCTTGTGAGTGAATAGAGCATCATGCATTAAACAGGCTCTTCCTGCACACGGGCACATGTGAACTGCCCACTGTGTCCTCCTGGGCCTTGTGCCTGAGCAGTTTGCAGGAGGGACTGGGGTAATGTTAATAGTGTGAGCAACATCTGACACTAATCCCACCTCAAACTGTGTCCTCAGGAAAAAATCAGAGCGCCTTGGGGAGCAGTGGAAGAAGGGAATTCCGATCGAAGTCATTCCCATGGCTTATGTCCCTGTCACCAGAGCCCTGACCAAAAAATTTGGAGGTGTCGTGGAGCTACGGATGGCTGTGAGCAAAGCAGTAAGTGTCCCTGATCAGCTCTGCTCCCTCCACCTGAACGTGGGCAAATGGAGGACCAGAGGTTTGGCCTTTCATCTAATGCAGTCTGGGCTTTCACTCCCCAGAGTGGCATCTTGTGTACCTCCTCCTAATTATACTTTGGTTAATGAACTGTGTTTGGGTGTTCACGCTGCTCACTGAAAGACTCTCTGGCTCATGTCTCCTAAAGCAAACATCCCGGAGCAGAGAGCAGAGGGATTGCCAGTCTGGGTCTGACCTGCTGCTCTGTGGGGATACTGGGGGCTGGAGAGCAGTGTGTGCTGCCAAAGAGGGTCTCACATGGTGGGCAGCTCACACTGGGTGATGGCTTTACTGATAGACTTATTGTGGACTGCCCTGATTTACTTGAATGATGACTCTAAACCACTGCAGCAGGGACAGCTGGTACAGGTGAGGGCTGTGACCGTGCCTGGCTGGGCTTGGGAGACATGGAGCTCATGTCATGACTACTGGGTTTGATTCCCAGGGCCCTGTGGTGACAGACAATGGGAACTTCATCCTGGACTGGAAGTTTGACAAGGTTCATGAATGGAGTGAAGTGAACACTGCTATAAAAATGATACCAGGTAACATCTGTGATTTTGTTAAAAACACAAAAGCTGTTTAAGACTTGGTCTGTGCTAGGTAACCCTGATGGTGGGAGCTCACCCCTGGATATGAGGAAATGTGTGTTTACTGCCCTCTTACAGGTCCCTACATTTGTTTCTACTTCAAAGGTCTGTCAGCGGAATTGATGTGTCACCACGTGGCTTTTTCATACAGTGGTGAAAAACCAGCCTGATGCTACTTGATGTTGACACTGTTTCCCATTAGGCATAAAAGCCCTGTGCTCTTCCTTACTCCTTGTGCCCGTTGAGAGAGTGAGTTCTAGTAGAAACACTGGTGGACTCTGGAGAGAGGGTTTACACTGTGTTGTGGTATTTTCCAGAAGCTACGTACAGCTCTGCATCCCATTACCATTGGAGAGCTCTACGGGTTCACCTTGCTGTGAGGGCACAACATATCCAAGCTATTTCTATGCAAGAGCAGCAGTGGCTGATTGCTCTGTTTGCAAACAAAGTCTCTGCAGGAGCTCCTGCCTTGCATGAGATCTGCTGCCCAGGCCAGAACTGCTTCTGTACCAGCCAGGTCTGCCCAGGGTCACTGGCACTCTCTGGACTTCAGGGAAGCAGCATCTGGATGTTTTTCTGGTTATCTTGGCAAAGTCTGCTCTTCATCTGGTCAGCTTTTGAATACATGTTGTTACATCTTTTATCTTTGAGCTCATCCCAGGCCTGCCTGCCCCTGAAGTCCATAACACAACTGCCTTCACTGGCTGCTCATGTGTTGTCAGAACATGAAGGAACAGATTGGGATTCTGTTGTACAAACCCCAATAACCCCACAAAGCAACAATATATTGTCCTGGCACCACCAGAGCAGGCAGAGGCCATGGGTGTAGGCTGTGTGAAGAGTCACCAGTAATTTCTAGTTGCTTCTGTTCAGTGGCTTTGCTTCCCTCAATGCTTATTAGCTGATTTGCTGAAAATATGCCCATTTTCTTTTTCCCTGCTCTAGGAGCAAGCTGCTAGGATGCTGCCTGTGCCTTGGCTTGTCCTCGTGTCTTTGCTGTCAGAGTAATTGCCTGGCACTTGCTTGCAGCCAGCAGTAGGTGGCAGGTTCAGACCACCTTCA